TGAAGTGCTCTGCTCTTTAAGTGTCCCAGGGTATATCGTCAGATATTTGTGATCCCCATATCGCACCCTGAAGTTAACAACCTCCCCCCCCCCTCACCCGTCGCCAGCCAATTCGACTGACCGGTCAGTCAGAAGTTTTGCGGAGCCCCCGGGTGGGAAGTAAATTGGTTCTTTAAGAGTTGCCAAATGTCGTCGTAAACGATTTGGTCGGAACAAACGATAGACTCTATCCACGCAGTTGTGGCAGAGTTCCGCAGCTCGTCAAGAGTTAGGAGGCGACGCATCATCCAACAAGTTAATGACAGGAAAAATGTATTGTATCATTGTCAGTGACGTCACAAGACATGTCAGACGTGTTGGTCAGCGATACGTCACCTTTTACCTGACAGGGACCCCAGTGGACTGAGTGCCATTTTTTATCAGCACCGTAGGCTCCTACGGGCTCTAGGAAAGCGTCACGGAATGGGAACGGCGCAAGACACTTCCCTTGAGCTTTGGGAGTGGGAGTACACCTCAACTTCATCACTGGAAACTTCACCGTATGGAAGTTGCGGTGAAGTAGTTCCTCTGGTACAACACATGCCTTTCCCATCATTTTCAAGAGAGACGGTGCCACAGCATCTGTGTGACAAGAGAAGAAAGATTCACCATTTAAAATGGCAGGTGACTTGTAGATAAAACATCTTTCCGTGCTTGACTCAGCCTAGAAGCTCCCCCCTTCTATAGATTCTGGTACATGTTGAAGTTTTGTTTGGTATACGGGATTCATTCAGAGACGAAGGTGTTTCACTATGTGATCAAATCCCTGCCATGTAAAGATGGTGTGAGGGCGCTCGCGCGCAGGCGAATCGAGCATTTCATCCCGCTGCCTTACGCTCAAGACGCTGACGCAGAGCATGAACGTGCTGAACGCGTGACGCATCCCAAAAACGAGTGGACTACGGAAGCTTTATCCCTTGAGCTCTAACAGTCATTCATTCATTTACACAAACCTTGTTGACTAGTTCCATGCAGTTGACTAGTGAGATGATCTAGATAGTAGCTGAAACTATTTAATACTGGTTATTTAGCGCCCACGGTTGTTCGCGAAACCAAAAGTGTCCCAGAACGGCTGATCCTACAAACTAGTTTTCTGGGGGCATTTTGGTGACGGGAGGGAGGGGGGGGGCATTTTGCACTTTTGCTACTTCCCATCGACGTGTCGACCCATCTAGAGAGCTATTTCATGAGCTTACAAGAGTTGACAGGTTTTACCATGGTGGCTCGACGAGCTTGCTCCAGCTTCACAAGAATTCACAGGTTTCATCGGAGTGAGACCTGTAAATGGGAACTAGTGAAGCAGCAAGAGTGCGAAATGCCCCCTCGTCGCTGAAGTGCGCCGTTTTCTGTGATCTTGTACAAGACGGGTCGCTAGCTTCGATGGAGCCTGATCGTCCTCAGAGGGGAGTAGCTAAAATATACGAGAAAAACCCCGTAGAAACAGCAGAAAATTGCAAATAGGGATGTAAGGCTTTGGAAATTGAAGGTTATAAAAAGGTATGGTCATACTCACCGTTTACATGGCCACTTGCGACGACTAGAAGCAGTAATGTGATGGCGCTGGACATGACGGCGAAGATGACGACGTCCCGAGGGGGTAAGGTCAATGCGTGGCCACGCCGATGACGCTCGAAGACGATAAGGGTAGCCGCGCGGCGGTGGCGGCGATGGTTGCGATGGCTGTGGTAGTGTCGAGCTAAAATACCGGTTCCTTCCTTCACTGCATCCGATACCACCATCGACCGTGTCCGTTATGATTCGAGAAATCAATCGACCAGATGAATCGAACGAAGGCGATGACGCCATAGTAGCGACACATCGCGCTGTTTTCCGCCCAGAAGTACATGTGTCAGTTCTACAAACCCGTCTCGTAGCGGTTAGGGCCAAGGTTTTCGATTTCTCTTCGGACAGCGACCTCAACCTGGTCGGGCTACATAAGTTTAACGGGCTTCCATGGTTTCTTTCTGTAGAACTTTTCACGTCAATCGATCTCTTGCAATTCTCGGGAGGCGGGGTGCTGGGCGAAATCACGCGTCGTTTTTGACCCAGGGATATCCCGGGCGTGAACAAGCCCGCAATTGTCTCAATGTGTGTCCGATTCGTTATCGCAACATTTTGAAGAAGCTCGTGATTCGGCGAAGATTCGCTTGACCTATGGTAGCGACCACAACAGGGCACATCGTCGTTGGGGATTCCCCAACAACGGGTCGTATTTGGTCGCAGGGGAGGGGAGGCTATTTGGTCGCTGGGATGGGGGTCGTAATTGGTCTGGGGATTTTTTGATGGTTGATTTTCTTGTTTCATGGACGCTATAAGGGGGGCTCGTATTTGCTTTCAGGGCACATCGTTGTTGGGGAATCCCCAAGTAGGGGGTCGTATTTGGCCGCCAGGAGAGGGGGGTCGTATTTGGGCTGGGAAAAATTTATTTTGATAGTTGATTTTTCTCGCTTCACGGACGTTGTAAAGGGGAGGGGGAGGGGTCGTACTTGGTCATTGTTGGGAGGGGGGGGGGTCGTATTTACTTTCTGGCCCTTCTAGGAGTGGACTGGTGGTTGATTTTTCATGTTTCCTGTTTTCAAGTGTAGTATATATCCCTCCTCCCTCCCCCCCCCTCCGCTGCGTCGACGGCCTCGACTCGAAGAGGAGGGACAAGAGGGCCGAGAGGGGGTGGTCGTACATTCCCCAAAAAAAGATCGTACAGACTCGACCCAAATCCCCGACCAATGATGTGCCCTGTTTGCTTTAGGAGAGGTGAAGTCGTATGGTGTTGACTTTTCGTGATTCCCCCTCCCCACCGCACAATCGTCGCCTTTTTGGTATAGAAAGTGCCCCTATACAGCCTGTTGCCGCTTCGCAGACGAAAGGACAGAGTATTTTTAGCTAGTTCGCTGGACATATAATCTATGCATAAACTTTTAGTTTAATCAAATAGGTCCTGGTGGGAATGCCGCGCATGTGATACCGTTTGTGTCACTCCCTTTGCAGGATAAAGTGGGGATGTGTGGAACGGCAATTAGGGCATGTCGTGCCGTTGGAAAAGACTTGGAAAATACGATCCCCGTCCAGAGTCCTCATACCACCCGCTTTTCCAGCTCCCGTATTGCCTACCACATTACCCTCTACTTTCTATTACATCTTCGAAGAATCCACGATTTTCTTAGTTGCAAATAGGACGTCCACCTCGCTGGGAATCCTCAACGTACGACGTGCCCTGATGGCGGTATCCTTAGTAATACCTCTCCAGAACCTCAAAGGAACGGTCCACGGCTCTTTTACGCAACCTACACTACAACCCGTCTCCCCAAGAATTTTTCCTCGATCGTGGTGGGGAAAAAGGTGAACATCTTCATCAACTACCAGAAACAGGGTCAATGTGCGAAAGCCAGAAAAATGGGAGAATGTTGATTTTTCTTTTTTCACCAGCGTCATAAACCTTTTCCTTCCCCCAGTTCCGTTCGTTCGGCGGCAGTTTTCTGAGAGAAATAGCTAAAATTCTTGTAAATTCGTAGGATGAGGAAAGGATGTACCACGACCAGAAACGGATATACCGCCCCGCCAGCTTGGGAATGTATAGCGCAGGTGGTTGCAAAAATCCTTCTCCAATTTCGACCTAATAACCGACACATAAAATTTGCGATGATGGCGTCGAAAAAATGTTGCAAGAGAAGGTCATGTGCGCGTCATTCGCACCAAAACCTGACTAGTTTAACACGGTTTCATCTGCAATATATAGCCAATTAGCTAATGAAAATTGTGCTTGCTTGCGCTTCTCTGAACGTGGATGTAACTTCCCTTATCAGCTTGCTGCCCTGTTTGCCTTACGCGGGAGGGGGATGGAGTGGTGGCAGACTGGGAGCGCTTTCCCTAGCTCGCTGATTTCTCTTACTGGCTCCCCTTAACTTACGTGTCCCATGTTGGTGACTCCTGTACATTCTTGTCAAGTGTAAACGAACCTCAAGGCATTACACAATTTTACAAGTTTGCAGGTCCTCACCGAGAGGGGGGGGCAGGCAGTTCCCGCACTAACCCGAAGTGCCACTCCGTTTGGTAGTCGTTTGGTTGTGTATGCTTAACATCGAAAAGGGAGTAAATGATTACCCTCCAATGAGGTGCGCAGCAATTTCGCTACTCTTGGAGCCTCGTTCATACTTCGCAACTCGGAATTCCCAAATGGCGCGATGGCGACCGAGCGACCACCGCCAATCATCGGTGGACGTAACTGCTAACCCATTCGCATTCAGAAGAAAACTGAGACATCCTACTTACCGTGCCACCCCATTGATCAGCAGTGAAGGGTGGTCGGTCCCATTATAGGGAATCGCTCAGGTTGCGAAGAATGAACGCGGCGCGACGGTCTGGTAGTCAAACAGCCCTCTCCTCAACTCGATGAAAACGAAGGGAGGCCGTGATTCGGCATCTCCTTTAACGAGAAATCGTGCCCTAGTTGGGGATGAGGCATTCCTTTCCTTTTTTACCAGCCGAGGATTCGTTTAGATTTTTCCAACACAAAACGTGAACGAGTTGCAGGGATAATTTGAATCACTCTACTTCACCATGACACTTTTCGCCTGAACAACACTACTGAACCAAATAGCCTTTCCTGTTCTTAACAAAAAAAAATTACATAGATTTCACCGCGATAACAAAAACAAGTTGTCAACAACAATAAGTACCGTATTAACAAGACTCCCGGAGTGCGTAATGAAAAGGAATCCGCTACTGTGACCCGAATTCTAACCCTGTTTACAGAGAAAGTAAATTCTCACTCTCATATACATGAGATCAAATGCTCTTCAACCTTGGGTAAATCGATGAAAAGTGAAAAAGATGGGTGGATGACCACCCTTCGGACTCACAAACAGATTCCTTTGCTTTACGTTCAGCTGTAGCCAGGTCTCTACCGTATCCTACCGTTATTTGAGCAACAATTTCTCTACTTTCTTGTCGTCCCCTCATTTTTTTCAGTTGTAGTCCCGTGCAGGCGATTCGCCACGATGTTCCTTTCTTTCAGCATTATACGCAGACCATTCGAAATCGGCCGGCATGGATTTCTTCATCTGGTGGGCTCGGTTCTCTTCGGAAAATTGTTCCACCTGAATGCGTGAAGAAATACTTAGGGGCGTTTATAGGTGAAATCTTAAGCTGCGTTTATACTTTGCGTCAGTGCTCTGGGCGTAAGGCAGTTGAGCCTTTCGAGTAGTTTTGAAATTTGCGTGGGCAGTCGCTGAAAACGCTGGCATACGCTTAAAACGCTGCCATACACTGGTGTACACTAAATAGATACCTATAAGTTCCTAGCCGCTCGGAACTCTCAAAACGTCGCCGTGTGCTCAAAATGCTGCCGTACGCTCAGAACGCTGACGCAAAGTATAAACGCAGCCTTACGTATGAATTGAAAAAAATTGCCTTCACTAATTGTACCTGTACGATTAGTGATCCCTCTTCACTCATGGACAAATCTGTTATCATATTGAATAGTGCCACCGGTGTGGGTAAATCTGGTATATCAAGGCGTTGGAAGAATGCCAATACGTTTTCAATATCTCTGAAAAACACCACTACAAGTAAGACGTAAGACGGGGTTTACAAAGATGGGTCTTTCAAAAAGTTGGCTAGCATGAATCCTCTGCGAGATCTCTGCCCCTTGCGAAAGAATCTTACCGCCCATCATTTCCATCAAAAAAGCAGCGCGCGTGATCTACAAGGCGCAACGGCGAATCCTATTCCCTATAAAAAATGATAAAGGGGGAGGGGGTGGGGGGTGGGAAAGCGATGGTCGAAAGCTTAAATCATAAAATCACTTTGGCACGGACGTAATTGGGGATGTCAAGGCTTGGCTCTGTGGACATCATTTCGTCCCTGCGAGGAGAGCTCTGACTCTGGTTGTCTGGGCTCGAAACATAAGCCTAAGCACTATTTCTGAACAGAGTCGTTTAGCACCAGTACCTTAAACCCACGTCCTGCCAACGAAATTGCTTAGTAGTGGGGCTCAAAACACGTGGCAGGTTATCGACAGCCAAGAAAAGACAGTAGAAACCGTTCAAAACGCCCAAGATAGGACCCTCCGCCTATATGGACTTGTACGAGCATATAGCGAAGACATGCAGTGATTGGACGAGTTGTCACCCCTTGGCCACCACATGTTCCCCTCCTATCTGAACCCTCTCCAACTTCATCGGAGGCTGGCAAGACAATGGTAGTTTGCCGCGTAGCCGCACGCGGCGCGTCGTGCGGCCAGTCGCGGCAAGATTCCCGGCGCGCTACACTGGGGTTTTTCCTTCCTTTCGACACTCATAATCAGATGGCCACGCAGGACAACTCGTCTGACGCGCCGCATCGCAGGCCTCGCCCACCAGCGCGATAAATTACAATTGTCTTGTCACATATCATCGAGTGTAGAAGATATAGCGCACATAAAACGAGAAAAATCAACGATTGAAACCCTTCACAACCTGTTCTCTAAACGTCAAATACTAGCCCAAGAATGGACTCCAGAGAGCTGATTCACAATGATTAGAGTAGCGGCCAATTTTCAAATGAAAGTCGGTGAAACTGGTTAACTGTGATTATTTCCCAAATCAAAACAGCTCCAATCAGATCACCAACATTCTTAAAATCAAATTCCTTTTGCTAACCTGATAAGAAAATGAAGATTTCTCGGATGAGATAAATCCATTGATTGTGAAACGTCGATAACATAGACCTTAACAGCTATCTAAGACGATGTACAATGGTAACGCCGTCTCAGACTTACCTTTCCTTCCGATAAAAGCAAGTTAAACTCGCTCAGATCCCCATGCACAAGTTTACAATCTCTGTACATGCGATTCATAATCTACAACATAAGGACCTATCATTCGAGAAGAGCTGAGCGGACAATGAACTTCAACGAAACAGAACCATTCTGTAATTGCAGAAACAAACTTACATCGATGACTTGTGAGAAAATATCTTTTCTCTCTTCCACAGTTGAAAAATCCCAATCGATGTTTTTCAGACGTGGTGCTGCCAATCCATTCTCACCAATCAGCGACATAACCAGAAGATGACGCTTCAGTTTGACCGGCACTGGACACGGTAGTCCGCACTTGACCATCCTGGAAGGAATATCATTCAATGCAGGAGTTGAATGAAGTGTAAGAGCAAGGAGGGGGTGCAGGTGTAGCCCAGGTCCGCTCCTTCAAGTGGAGGGGAGAAATACTCATCTGAAGCGTTGAGGCGTTATCACATAACACGTGCCTGCTATCAGCATTGAAGAAAACTCTCATTCAGATTCAATTATCTCACAACACAAAGACATCAAAATGATCGAAGATGCGATTCAAAGAATGTCAGAGGCCTCAAAGGCCGCCAATTCGATTTGGGGGAGGCGTACAAATGGTACCGTGCCGCCAAGTATGTGCGGAGTAACAGCTGATGCGAATTCTGTACGACACTGCGCCTCACTTACGCACTTTGCAGCTCCACAGAGTATTTACAGGCCTCGAGTCGACTGTAGCCCCTAGATATTAGGTTCATCCCATTCAAAAGTGTCCAGTGCACATATAAGGAGCAATGGCAGAAAAGCAAAGGGGATAGGGAAGCGGGCTAGTATACCATTTGGAGGCTAGTACCTTTAGCTGTGTATCTGTGAAATTTGGCGAACCTACCCACAGAGGATGTTCTCGAGAAATTGAAAATAAGCGCCAGTGGTGAAAATCAGCGCCCGATTTTCGAATCAGACGTCATAAGAGGGAAGTGCGCTGCTCAAATTCGACCTGCGCGGACCAGTAGTTGTGTGTAAGGGTGTTCTCGAAATGCAAGGTGGAAGATTTGGTTCAGGAGCCCGTACAAGGAAGAAAGGAAAAATTTGTTGTCGTGGATGGTCCCATAATGTTCATCCTGCACAAGAAAAAAGGGTGGATGAAGTCAAGTGCTGAATGTCTGATCCCAGAGCCTGGACCTTTGTCGAGCTTCCCGCGAGTCTGACATCCCAGCTGCAACTGCTGCCCGAGTTATGTCCGATAAACTGAGGATGGTCAAGAGGTGTGCGCATGGGTACCTAATTTTCTTGTAGAAGCACGAACGCAGTACCTATTCTGTGCCTCTAGCAGTAATGTTCTCAGCATGAGATGTCATTCACGACTGTGAAAACGCACCCCGGCCCTAGATGAAATATGGGTGGTCTTGGACCTCGAGCCAAAACTCACAATCGTCAATTTTGTATGAATGCAGATGAGAAGCCGCCCGAGTTCTACCATGAAGGTTACGTGGGCGCAAGTGGATGATCATCATAGCAAAGGATTCCTACACTGAGGCTTTTAGGCGGCTCTATACAGAAAATAAAATCGTAGCTGTCGGTGTATATTGCCTGTTCCTCGGCAATCAGATCGACAAAATACATGATACCACACAACTACAAGAAGGCCACCGTTGCCTCGCCCATAGTGTTTTTCTTCACACACCTCGAGTAATTGTAATGTAGGGCAAGTGCTGGGACAAACACATACTGAGACCTGGGTTCAATCACCCCATTCGCCCGACATAAAGCCGAGCGATTCCAATTGTTCTCGTCAGTCGAGAGTACTCTCCGACGGCAAACGCTACAATGTTTTGTCATTCGCCGAAATTGGCATCAACAGCAATTTACTCGCACTTGTTGAAAAATCGAAGGTACCAGAGGTCCAAAGGCTTTCGGGGCACAGGGAGTGGGTTATTGGGAGGAGCGATTTACTTAGTGTAAGCAAAATATCACTTTTTGAATCTATTTTCCTCTTGTGTATCTCGCATAAAAACGCGACGCACTTTGAATGCGAATGACCTCATTAGTGTGGCCACCTAGCGAAAGCCAACATGTCCTCGTCCCTCCTCCGCATGGCGAAGCAGCCTTTGTCCTTTTTCCTAACTATTTCTCTTTAAGACACGTTGAATGAAAACTTTTTATGTACCTTGTCCGTTTCGCTTGCTGACAATTAGAGCCTGCTTCCCTTGCTGACTAGGCGCCTTTTGGCTTGGAAGGGGCACTTTGCACTTTGCTAGGTCATATTAACCAATAGACATTTAGGTGAGACATGTAAACTCTTATTGGCATACCTGCGGAAGGGTGCAGCCGTATGCCTTTCTATTCATCTTTCACAAGATGATCTGTACAAGCTTTGTTGATTACAATTTGACGCCCTCACTAGGCCAAACTGCACCCATCACTACCCAAATCCACTTTAATTTAGTTTGAACCGAGCCTCAAGCGAAGAAAAAAAAAGCAGAAACCTGGAAAGATTCATGAACTCGCGTTCAGCCCAGATCTTTAGCACTCCACGAGGATTCTTGAATCGAAAGTCGTCTTTCACGTACTCTGACCTTAATAACACCCGTATCACATGAATCGTAACTGGGAAGGTAGACGGCGGAGGATACTTAGGCCGTATTTTGTGAACTTCTTGTGAGAGGCTGTGTCTGTATACAGGCTGGTGGGTAGTAGCGGAATGGCTCTCACCACTTTCATTGTTGAGGGCGTTCAGGACGGCGGGGCGTTTCCTGGGAAGACTCTCGTCTTGGGCGTCGTCATACTCTGCGCCAGAGTTGTTGCAGCGGACGGGATCAGGGACGTGGGTTGAGCGGGCCCTGCACGCGAAAATTTCAAAGCTACTCAAGCACTGGATGCGGTACGCGTATACTTTTAGTCGCCTCAAAAACGCTGCCGTGGATGCCTCAAAAAGCTGCGCATTGATGCACGTAGCCTCAGCGAGACTAGTGCGAGCTATTGTCTTACTGGCTATCTGGTCAATAAGCAAGGGGCAATGCTATGTACCTTCCAGTTGCAATTGATCCTCTTCGACACTTATCAAAGATGCGCTTGATTTGATCCACATTGAACAAATGTAGATGCGCGTCACGCCCATCCATGAGCGTCGCGATGGTCGCCTTTTCTCCTGAAAAAAATCAAAGACGGCATTATTTTTCGATACGAAGCTGATACTGTAGTGAGTTTACGCTTGTCCTTGAGCTGTCATGTGACGCTTCGGTTTCACTGGCTTTGGAGAAGATTACGGAAGGGAGTTGAAAACGCGACTGTTGATCTGCTCCTTGTTCATGTCACCAAACGCCAGATTGACTTTATCCTAGAAACTTCTCTGGCACTAAATTTAATTATACCTTAATTTGTGACGAGAAGAGGGGTTAAAACAACCAAATTCTTGAGCGTAGTTCGGCTTGCCGGGCGACACTGAAAGTACTCAGCAATATCTCGTAGCAGGTCATCATGTGAAGCCTGTATCCTGGTGCGCGAATGTGGCTCTATCTGCACAGGTACACATCAGCAAGCAGTTTACAGGTTACCAAGAGCGAGGGCATGTAATGCGACGATGAATTAATAAAATAAGCTAGCAAAGTGCAAAATTCGGCCCGCCCCCTGCTAGGCCGAACAGCTGCCCAAGGCCTAATCGCCCGAGGCGAGTGGAGCAGCGAAAAATTTTATGCATGACAAAACCTATCTGCCAAAAGAGCGATTTTTACGAACAGAACGGCGTATTCTATAGTGATGTTTCGAGTAACGGTTTTAACTAACTAAATGAGGATTTTTGTCTTGAGCTTGGGGGACGAATCAATTTCTCTGTGAAGGACTCCGACAGAAATTCCTACAGTTATCCCAAGTTTGCATAAAACAATCCCTACATAGCCCTACTACACTAGAATAACGCCCAGAAAGGACGAATTCTTGTCGAATACTCGCCAGTTATCTTGTACTTGCTCTCGTAAACATGGAAGCCACTCACATTCATGGCTTTATCAGCATTTCGCCTGGCAGAAGCATTGGCATCGTGTTTCGTGACCATATCTCCTCCAGAGTTACGGAACACTGGGCTGCTGTGTGTTGGTGCATCATCGGTTAACTAAATTAAAGCTGAATAAAAACCTCAAGGAATCACTGTCTAGAGTGCAACGACGTTATCTAGAGGCACAGGTGTAGCAGCCTGTTAGGCCACGTTAATACTTTGCGACTGAGGAGATTTGGCGGTTTGGAAGATTTGGCGATTAGAGGGATTGCGCGTCGTGGAAAGTTAAGTTATCGATCTGGCGATTGAAAAGACTCGCCAGATCGCTAAATCTCCCAAAACGCCAGATTGCTGATTCCCTCCAACCGCAACATCGATACCTCTGCTTTTCTCGTCGCGCGATCTCTGGAAATCTCCTCACGTGCAAGGCATAAACGAGGCCGTACGAGTTGGGAGACGACGCATCATTTCAAAAACTAACGAGAAAACCTATCTTGCATCGTTGTGAATTGACGTCACAAGCACGTCAGTGACGTGCAATGTGACGTCAACGACAGGTCATCTCCCTGGGCGGGTCACCTGTGCAACAATAGCGAAAAAATACCTTAGCATAGAGTAGATCGGTAACAAACTGTCTGGCATCCTCGTCGTCACTCGAAATATCAGAATCCTGGGCTGTTTTCGGATAGTATCGATCAGGAGTTACAGTCACAGTGGCTGAAGGAATATGATCTGCACAGTTGGACAAAACCGTCAAGCAAAACTAGGAAATATCTGGCGAAATCAATAGAGAAACTGAAAAAAAAGAGGAAAACGAATTACCCGGTGCTTTTCCCTTCTTTCTCCTGCTCCAGAATTACAGAAAGTTCGTATTCACGGTCGAACTGACGCTGAAGTTCTCTCGCCATCTCCTCGTCATTGTTGTATGCCTAAGCCACGAGAAATCACGTCTTACTTTACCGCTTCAAACGCGTACTATCAAACAATTAAGGAACGATACTACCCTTGCAGTCTGGCGCCACCCAAACGCCGCACATATAAGGAGGGAGCACTATCTCAGCGAGAGGACGCATACGAACATACATAGTCACTGCCCCATAGCCACCCCCTACCCTCAGACCCGGAAGCCCCTTACGAATTAGGACACTCAGCCGCGCCTCTGTGTTTCTTTCCCTTGTCAAGGCGAGGACTGAGAGCGCAGACGACCAGAGCAGCCGAAGGATGGTATATTTATTGTTTAGCGAAGGGACAAGAGACGCCGCCGAGTCCCCCCCCCCTCCCAATCCCAATCTCGGGAGGCCCGAGCCTTTCAACGAACTTCTTGTAAACGTGGTTACATGGAGTCTGTGCGGCGCGACAGTGTCAGGTCATGTCTGTCTGTCTTCGCCCTTTAATCGGATACGAAACTAAGGGTGCACTCATTCTAAAGCTTTGGAAAGACCTGGCAAGACAGCAGCAGAAGAACGACTATCGCAGCGTAACCCCCTCCCTCTCCCAACTGCCTCCGCCTTGAACTTGACATTCTTACCGGTGTAGCTTCGCTTTCAGCAATCGCTTGTAGAAACTCTTGTTCCTTCCGACGTTCCTCTTCGTTCAAAGTCTCAGCCAGATCTTCACTCATTATTTCGACAAAGGAAACGATCGGTTCACAATCCTTGACAACAAACCGTGTTATGTACAGAAAACATGACAAAAACTATAAAAAAATACCTCCTCTTTCCGTCCCCAGGCACTTTTGCCACCCCACGCACTGCATTCTCCTTTCCCCGACATTTTCGACGTTGCAAGAAGGATATGTACAAACGGAATAAACAAAAATGGTTTTTAAAACCCTTGCAACAATCGAAAGAACGGTCGAGGCTCAACCCAATAGTCCTGAGGGAGATGTTGATCCCTGAAAGAAAAGCTCATGAATGGTCGTACTTAGAAAAAGTGGGATGGAAACGAACACACTGCTAATAAGGAATACGCCACAATAAATCCGTTCTGGGCGCTATTGTACTAGACTAGAGCATTTGGTGCAAACATTTCGTCAGACTACAGTTCTCGCAATATTGCACAAGGGTTACCGAGTATGAGTTCCGCCACAGTAAAACAAAGAGGTCCGCAGTATAACAACCCAATATTTTGGACTAGCGCTCTCTTTTATTGCCCTGAGGAAGTGTGTTCATAGTGCGCGATTCGATCGCACGATCCGGGCGATTGGCTCGCGAATTATGAAACGTGCTCTGAAGCTGCCTGACAGAAACAACGGCGAAAAGAAAACTGAAACTGTTTGCAATTCAGGGACAGATTTCCTATGAAAATCTAAATCAAACTGACGGCTGGTAGGAAGGACCCGAAACGCTGGCGCAGCATTGGTTGCGTCCAATGCATCATGTTTCTACCTATAATCTGGAAATATAAGTCCGAGCTGGGTGAACCCTACATAAAATGCGGACTCCCTTTTCACCTAAAGGAGTTCGCGCCCATAACGGGCATCTCTTGACTCAAGCTGCGTTCATACTTTGCCACGGGGGAGACTCGGCGATTTGAGAGTTGCACGACGAGGAAAGAATAGGCATCGCTTTGGAGGCAGTGACGATTGAGCGACCCGATGATTTGGGAGAATCAGCGTTTTCGCTGATCGCGCGCGTGAGAAATGGATAGGTATCGATCGGCGCTGGTCGCTAGCAACTGCGAAGATCCGGCAATCTCTTGAAACTCCGGATCGCTGAATTTCTCAAACCAGCGCATCGCCGAGCCTCTCAAATCGGCGAATCTCCTCCGTCGCAAAGTGTAAGCGTGGCGTAATCTGTTGAACAGGGGACCTTTGCTTCAACTACATCGAAACCTTAATAAATGAGGAGACAAAAGTAGTTCTTGTTGAGGCTAATATGGAAACTTGTTAAATTAGAAAACAAGAAAAGACGAAGTGAAAAACTGCTACAAGACCACCGCTCGATATAGCAATAAATCGACTAAGGAGAGAGCTGTACTATGCTTGAATGGATCATGAGTAGCGCTCGGTGGGAGAAGCATGACTCCGTCGGTTCTGGACTGAAACAGACCACTAAAACCACTTGTTCATGACGTAATACTTATGAAATATTGCGCCACCAGCGAACTACAAGGCCTTGGCAAAGTGTCAATAGCTACAGTACTCGCGGACCTGCGAATCGCACATGGATTCTTGGCATGCATATCATCTGGCTGCTTTCAAAACGACGTGCAGCTGTTGTTTTTTCCGTTGATCGGCGCAACCTCGTGAGTTTCCGTAGCTTTTGTCATCACTAGCTTTTCTGTTGGTTATAACGGACTACTTTGAGTAGAAATCCGAAGTTCTTGCAGCCCTTTTTTGGGTTTATTTTGTTCAATTCGGAGGTGTGTCATTAAGTGCAACGAACTTCCCTAGTGAGAGGCTGCTGTTCTTTTTATGGCCCGTCGCTTTTGTTTTAAAGACATAGAACATTATCACCTTACGTATATTGTTCGGGCATCACTTCTATAACTTCCTGTAGATCGACCAATCAATCCTGTGACAATGGGCTAATTGAACCGCTCCATATTACAGCTATTTAATGAAAATTCCACTTAATGACAATTAAACAATTTCGCGCTAAAGTAGTAGCCCTTAGTGGTCATTATTAGTTGGTTTGGAAAGTAAAACTGTAGGTGCCGCGCAATATTCGTCCGAATACCTCTTGTTAAAATTCTTTTGACAATGAGAATAGAGAGCTCAAGTATTTACATTGTTGGGTAAGCAACTAAGACGCTTCTGTTTGTTTGGCTGTAAATTTTCTGTCGACCTGGTACCCACTCATACCGGACCCTTTCGAAAATAAGTGATCAAGTGATCAATCTCACGTGACTCGTCTAGCGCTGGGTTGAGCGATTAGCAGTGCAAACTGAAAACTCAAAGGTAAGGCATTGTTCACACTCTGCGGTCCAGCGTTTCTCTGAAACGCGGCGGTTCGGCGAAAAGCTTTCGATACGTATCGACTGGCGGTTGGGCGAAAGGGTTTTGGTACGTATCGACGGGCGTTTCGCCAAACCGCGACGTTTTTCGCCTTCGACAAAACGCTAGCTCCATCGCGGTGGCGTTTTTCGCCAGCGAAATCGATACACATCTACTGCTTTTCGCCCAACCGCCCAACCGCGGCGGTTGGACGGTTGGGCGATTCTCCGATCGATGACTATTTATTGCTTTTCTCCCAACCGCCGGGTCGCAATCTGTGGACAATGCCTCAGGCTCCTTTCAAATAACCGGAGAGAAATACTTAGGTAGTTCGCAGCATGTTAACATCCGTCTGTAATTTTTTTTTACCTTTAACTTACTTTTTCGTTGTAACCGTTTTGCGTGCAGTAGGCTGCGTTCATACTTTGCGTCAGCGTTTTACGTACGAAAGCGTTTTGAGCGACTAAGGAAGTGTCGGTATCGATTATCACGGGCGAAGGCGAAAACGCGGGGGGAAAGTAAAAACGCACGGCGGATATCATATCATATATTTATACTTCCCTGATCGCTCGAAACGCTGACGCAAAGCATGAACGCACACTTACTGGTTTGTTCACAGTGAGAGTTGGTATTTTACAGGTTTTCTTGTTTGCAACGTTCGTAAGCTTAATAGCTTCGTTCGTTTGCGACCTATCAAAACGCTAGAATGTCAGGAGGAACAGTTATGGACCATATCACATCTCTTCCTCATCAGAACGATCAAAACGTCATCCGCCATCTGACT